TTGATAAAAGCGAAGTTGGTACGGTAAGCGGTGGTTGAGAGAGAATTTTTAAAAGTCGCTCCTCGACATATTTACCGGAATTCAAAATTTAAAAAATTGAGCTTCTCCAGAAATAACAAAGTTAACAAACTTTTGTTCAAAGTCCTTTTAAAAAAGTTCCAGTTTTTAGATAATTACTGAAAGCAGTTTGTATTTAAAAGATTGATTATGCATTTTGATGGATTCTAGCTAATTGATGAAGTACCTTAGCTCTTCTTCGCCTTCTCCACTGTTGTACGATAAACAAGGGCTGTATTCTCTTCGCTAGAATGTCAGTAAAAACTTTACTCGGTACTAATTTCTGAAGTGCAAATTTTCAATCTAAAAAGCTTTTCTATTCATTGTGATCCCCCGTCAAAAGCATCATCCAAAATGCCACCAACTTAATGATATCCTGTAGTTGTTGAGTGCCCACACTTCACACTAGCGAAGTCAACCACAAAAAGTGCGTAGAAGCTGGTATCCTTAGTTCATTAAAATAAATACCATCTGAAAAGATAAATCTTAAAGCAGACCAAGGCGTCAGATCAATCTCACTGGTCTTTTGTACAAGTTTACAAGTTTTGGCAAGAAGCGAAATTAAATCATAACATCAGCTGCCAGTACAGTAAATTGTACATTTCTCACCAACTTAAATAGTCTAAGTTCCTTCATTTGTTCTGAAGAACATAGCTCTTCCCAACAGAATATAAAAAGAATTTTACAGATGAATTCTAGTCAAAAGTATCATACTTCCACACTTACCAACTTTAAAAGGTACCCACTAGTCTTTCTTCTTCTGAAAGGTGACTATGCAAGATCTAGAAGAAGCTAACTGGGAGGGCCTAGAAATTAAAAGTGCTAAAACATTAAGGTGCAGCAAATTCACTCATCCATGTATTTAAATAAGTTTCCTGTAAACTGAGGATTGAAAAGGTTGAAGAACCGTCTTATGTTAGGCCAGTTTAAGTCACCCACTGCCGTTTGACAGCTAATTGATAGAAGAACAAATAGATTTTTATCGTTCTCACGGTTCGACGCTCTGCTACTTCACGAAAAACCGTAGATTCCAGGAGGAGTGACTGAAAGTATTTCCTATGACTAGTTAAATTCTTAATTTTAAGAATCTAATTCTAAGTCCCTCAAAGAACTGCAAAGAATATGAGGACTGCTATCGAACTAGTCCGTTTTCAGGCGAATATCTTTTGTTTTCTACTTGTTTATATATTTAATGTAGAAAGAATGGTGCTTATGCATGAAAACGGACAGAATGAAAATTGATATACAAGTCGCCAGAAACATTGAAAAAATTCATAATCAATTGACTGGTGTAGAGTAAAAGAGAAAACATTTACAGTGGATGATTTGAAATTTTTTTGGGGAAAATAAAGTACGCAAAACCACTGGTACCTGCGGCGTATCGAAACTTGCAATGCGAGCACCCTAAGCTTAAAAATACAGAAGTAAAAATGAATAATTAGTGATTTGTACCAAATTAATATCAATAACTTTCTTCTACAGTCCCTTCTCAACAGGAGCAAAAAAAATTTTCACTCTTTTTTCCTGACCATTTTTTTCTGTTGCGAAATAGAAATTGTATGTACAGACAGGGTCTCAAAGGACGAGCTTTAATTGTCTTCAATGCTTAATTAGTTGCGAGAGATCAGTTTGAAGTGCAAGGCTTAAAAAGTTGTCAGCGCGGATAGCAAAAACCATCTTTCGTCTTACCGCACTTGCTGCGTTGCTACCTTTTTTATGTCTACAAGTTTATGTCTACAAGAGTTCAATTGTATATATTTCAAATAGTCCCTTAAAGTTCCTCTTCATTTGGAGAAGTTTTGAAAGTGTTCTAACTAGAATCCAAAATTTTTTTTTGGTCCCAACCATCCATTAAAATATGACTTATGGCAGTGAGCTAAATGGTACTCCAGAGGTTTCTTATTCGTTCTTTTTGAGTAATCTCTCTTAGCCACAATGTTACTTACTGTTCAGTGTTCATTATCTTGTTATTACAGATATATTTAGCACTGCTCTTCCATGTCATTTGCTCTATACAATAAGCAAGAAGCCAATTCCTGCAAGCCAATTCTTCGTGCTTTTTTTTTAAAATTCTTGAGAGGAGTTGAAAGTTCTGTTTCAGCAACTTTCTATTTTACCAGACGCGTAATGGCTAGAACAACACTTCAGAAGAGGTAGTCAACTTACTGTAAACGTACCGTAGTAGTTACCTCTGATCAGTGAAAACTTAGAAGACTTGACAACAGTTTCTGTTGCCATTTTGCTGCTGTTCCATTTGCGATTTTGATCGCATAAAAAATTAAAAACAGCGCTGTTTTACAAAAAAGTCTATCTAGAACCAGGACATCTGAGACGGTGTTGACCAAAATAACTTTTGCGAGAGGCGTAGAGTTGATACTCGTCAAACACAGAAGCATATCAACTAATTTTACTAGCTTATTTTGTGTAAGTCGTCGTTTTCAAAGGATATGCGAAGGAGGCGAGTATACACATATAAATCTCGGTGAATAGTCTTTTTTTCTTCACCACTTATTTCGTTGATTCTTATTTATACCAAAATATATGCATTTTTTACATAAATTATTATGTGTTGCCTATAAGCTACTCTGAAATCTCAAAGTTTGTTCTAATGCATTGTTTCTTGAGCAATTTTAACTTTTTTGTGAACTGACGATCTTTTGTTCCGATTATGGTCTTTACTTACATTCTTATTCTGCCAGCTGCTGCTTCTGACCTCTTTTTTCACTCACCTTCATTGGGCAAAAATGCAAAAATGACGCCCATGCCTCTCCCACCCAGTCGATATTTCTGTTTTGGTAGCTAAACAAAACGTAACACCGAATAATGAAACTACTCAGACTCATCCATATTATTGTTTTAGACCAAAAAACAATTCTA